ATCAACATAGACAAGCAAATATAAACAAATAGAGGCACGAGTATAGATGAATAAAGAAACATCAGTCTTGGAGGGTGAAAAACCAACCGACACCAAGAAAGCATGCAACCTATTGAACCACGCTTGAGGAGCCTGCTTAAGACCATAGAGTGACCTCTGTAACAAACACACATCATCCGGCCGTGACTGGTCTTCATAACCGGGCGGCTGTCTCATGTAAACTGTCTCTGCAAGATTACCATTGAGGAAGGCGTTGTGAACATCCAACTGCCAAATGACCCAACCGCGAGAAACGGCTAAAGAGAGAAGAAGCCGCACGGTGGTGGGTTTGACAACAGGACTGAAAGTCTCAAAAAAGTCTTGCCCAGCGACTTGATTGAAACCCTTTGCGACCAATCGAGCCTTGTGCCGCTCAATCGTGCCATCGGCCTTGCGCTTCGTTCTGAACACCCATTTGCACCCCACAACATTCATGCCAGGTGTACGACTAACCAGACGCCAAGTGTGATTCTGGAGCAAGGCATTAAACTCAAGATCCATGGCCTCACGCCACTCCGGATACCGAACTGCCTGAGAATAACAAGTCGGTTCAGGAACAGTCATAAGAGCCACATGCTGCGTCGGTCCTTGAGAACGGGTTGCCATGACATGAGACCGAGGCTGAACAGGCTTCGCCGTACGGCGGCCTCGCTTGGGCGCAGTAGGAGCACCCGAGACCGCCCCTTCCGGAACCGTAGCAGTCACGGTGCGAGAATCTGAACCAGCTGCGGCAGCCCCGGAATCCGCGTCCAACTCTGGATGAGGATCAGGTCCAGTGGGACAAACATTGGAGCCAACACCAACCCGAACGGCACCAACACCCCACGGCTCAACCGGGCGAGAGCTAGAGACCTGAGAAAGCATAGAAGAAGCAAACGGATATACGGTCTCATCAAACCATACATGACGACAAATGAATACCTTGTTAGTAGTAGGATCTAAACAACGATAGCCACAAAACGAAGACGGATAACCAAGAAACACACACGGGGATGACCGATACTGCAACTTGTTACGATTGTACGGGCGCAACAGAGGATAACAGAGACAGCCAAACACACGCAAGAAGGAATAAGAAGGATTAGAATGATGCAAACGATAATGAGGACTGACATTGTCTAGAACTCGAGTAGGCATTTTATTGATGAGATAGACCGCAGTCTCAAAGGCATAATCCCAATATCGCTGTGGAATCGAAGCCTGAGCCAAGAGAGCCAGACCCGTTTCCACAACGTGACGATGCCAACGCTCAACTCTACCATTCTGCTCATGGGTATAGGCACAAGATTGCCTATGATTGATACCCAAAGAGACAAAAGTACGGTGCAACCGTTTATACTCTCCCCCTAAATCAGATTGTATAAAGACAATCTTACGACCATATGAACGCTCAACTAGTGACCGAAACTGCTCGAAGATAGCATACACATCAGTTTTTAATCGCATAGGATAAAACCATACATAGCGTGTGTAGTCATCAACAAACAAAACAAAATAACGAAAACCATTGACAGAAAGAAAAGGCGTTGGGCCCCAAATATCAGTATAAATAAGCTCTAAAACATGCGACGTAGTAGTATTGACACGAGGCAAGGGAAACCGAGATGATTTCCCAAGCATACAAGCACGACACGACACCGAACTATTACTAAAACTAGAATCAATGGAACACGAATTCAAAATCTACCGCAAGACACGAGGATGAGGGTGACCCAACCAACCATGCCAAACGTTAGAGGAGACACGCGAAGCCACTAACGCAGCGGGACTCGAACGAGAAACAGGCCAAGAATAGAGACCCCTCGAAGCCTGCCCTCTATACAGAACTTCCCTGGTTGAATGATCCTTCACAAAGAAACAATCTGGGTGAAATTCAAAGAATACATTATTATCACGGGCAAACCGTTGCACAGATAATAAAGACGCAGAAAGCCCTGGAACAAAAAGAACATCAGACAACCGAAACAGTGTTTTAGAAGAGGCTACCGAAGACGAACCAGTACCAACAATAGGTAAACACTTACCGTCACCAACACGAAGATGATCCGGACCGTTATAAGAGACCGTCGAGGACATCAAAGATGGATCTGGGGTGGCATGGTTCGATGCACCAGTGTCGGGAAACCATTGTTGAGTGCTAACCGAAGTCGCATCATCCACAGGATACGCAACATGCGCTCTCGGCCCCGGAGCTCCATCGTACCGGCGAAAGCACGAAGCGGCCGAATGGCCCTCGCCGGAGCAGATCTGGCACTGGACAACCCCAGCACCGCCACGACCACGGCCGCGGTTGCCGCCTCCACGCTGCTGCCCGCCCGAACGGCCTCCACCTCGCTGAGCCGCCATGGCGACCGGAGCAGCAGCAACATCACCAGCATCATCGGCACATATAAAAGCCTGCGAAACAAGAAATTCGGATAGCTCGGGCAGAGACACCGGAGCACCCCTTGTGAGCGACGCCACCAAAGGACGATATTCGGACCGCAAGCCTCGGAATATATACATATTCTGATCCTCTAGCATCACCGGACGGTCGGCAAGCGCTAAATCCTCGATAAGCACCTGCGCACGGCCAAGATAGTCCGGGATCGAAGCATCCCCCTGCCATAATCCTTGCAACTCGCCCACCAACCGGAGGGCACGAGCCCGTGTAGTCGAACCAAGAACCTGTTCGATTGCTAACCACAAATGCCGAGAAGTGGACTTACCGATTGCGAGGTGCATCATCTCGTCGGACAAGGATGAGATTAATATGGAGAGCACGGCCTTATCTTGACGGAGCCATGCACTCCAAGCAGCGGAAGACGAAGCCGACGAAGGCACGGCAGGAACAGCTCCCTCGGCAGGCGGCACGGCAAGTGCGGTGATCGGCGGACATACCGAAGTACCATCGACAAAACCCAACAACCCTTGGCCATCCAAGAACGGAAGAAGCTGAGTACGCCAAAACAAAAAATTGCGGGATGTCAACTTGATGGAGACGAAGTGATGCGCCAAAGAGAAATACACCCCCGACTGCAGCGGTGCAACAAGCGCGGCCTCGGAAACGGTCCGTTCAGAACTACCAACAGAGCCGTCATCAGATCCGAGGTGCGCTATTAGAGAGAGGAGAGAGAAACCTGCTAATACCAGATGAGGATACGATATATCTGAATGAAGAATAATGAGTCTGTACAGGAGTATATATAGTAGTGAATAGTAAACCTATTACAAGACGAATACTAATAATAATAGGTAACGAATACTAATTACTAATAATAATAGGTAACGAATACTAATGATGATAGAGTCCTAATAGTACGCACATTCATTTATTCCAAGAAAAACATGCAGATCAATTTATATAATCCAGTAAACCAAATTAATTGTAGTTTAACATCCAAATTGATCCGTGTTGTGGGCATATATGAAATCAATTAATTTCGACACAATGCGAACTCCCATCATCAACATTGATAATTCATAATGATGAATAAAACCTTATAATTAAAAATCCCCAAATATCATGAACCCTAATTTTAGTGATTAATTAATTTACAAGCAGGCTCTGATACCAAATGTTAAATAATCCTTTATGCGCTATAACTTAAATGCGGAAGCACAATTAACAATGATCGCAGGTAAATCAAATTAATCAACTAAACAATGTTCATGATCATGGACTTTTAATTAAATAGGAAAGATAGGACTTACTTGGTTCCATTGAAGATGTAATCTCTAAATTGAATGAATCAAGAATATAATGCTTCACCTCTCTAATCCGTATATCTTATTCACCTCCTGATGATACGGAGACTAGAAAACTTAGAGATTTGAAACCGTTAAGATCCCTAGAGTTTTCCTGGGTATTTATAGATGTGATGAGAAACCCTTTTTCAAGAGGATGTGACCTCCTTTAGGAATAGAAATCCCTTTAGGATTGTGAAACCCATAACCTTATCCATTATACATCTTTTAACCCTTATAAACTTAAATTTTAACAAATGAGAGGGAGGGAATTTCACCCAGTAATTCCACCTTTACACATCACTAATCATCAACATGAGTACCTTATGGAAATAATTATTTCTAACATCCCGTTCGTGGAAGGCCAATCGCCAGCTGCGAAGACTAATCAGGTCTTGTCTGGATCGCCGAGAAGAGAAGGCTGATCTGGTCTCAGACTGCAACGTCTACTTCGATTCCGATTTCGAATCTCGCAAGTGACTTACGGGGATATTGAATATGAGATCCCCTGGCGAAGAATTGGAGATGGATGCAGATCATATGATCTCTACTCTAAGATACATATGTAGAAACAAAGAATTCCAGATCGAGAGAGGAGACCCCAACCATTTCATAAGTTCCATGATCAGACGTCCGGATCGCTGCCACAACCATCATCGACGAAGCTCTAGATCACGAGAACGTTCAGGTGACTGCCGATCATCTCCCTACTGACGGCGATCAACCTGAGACCCCAGACGGAGGCTTGCGCGGGCCTTGGATGAGGACGGAGACGATCACCGAACCTGATTGCCAGAATTCCGTCCGTCGACGACGGGAAATATAGCCGAAAGTTTTTTTTGTTTTCGAAAAATTGCCAATTTTCCCTCAAGGATCTTGTTCGTGTTCCGACTCCTCCATCTTCCCAAAACCATTGTGGCAGCCAGTATAATTTTTCCCTGATACATTGCACTAGTCATCACTACCATTCTCGCAAACGCATTGAGGCAGTCGACATATTTTTGCACCTTCCCAACTTCGCGGCGGTGTTTCCTTCGCAGCAGCAGACGTGTTTCAGTCCATGTTTTCTGGCCGACTGGGCTGATGAATGATGTCGCGACTACTAGCATTGTAGTCACCTTGCCTGAGGCTCAATCTACACATAGCCAACACCAGCATTCATAAAAATGTCACAAGGCAGTGGTTTAAGCCTTGTCAGGTTATGATGAGTGTTGACGCCACAAACATTCAGAGGGATGCACAGATTCACCAGAATTCCAAAGCAGAAGATTTTGAGGACTAATATCGTTGGTGAACGGTATTTTTAATCCTTATTATTTACGTGATGTTTGTGCGAAGAATTTTTCGATGATGATATCAGTGGTTGATCTATGTGTTAAAATTTATTTGCATGAATTACTGGTACAATCATTGCAATAAGTTCTAGGCCTATTTTTGCAACTAATGCAGTGTCTTGGCCTTAAGTATTGGTCATTCCAATGCTAGCATTGTTGCTAATAATGGTGTTTGTGTTAATGGTCGAAATACTCCCATTTTTACTGCTTATTATGCAGATATTCAGGCTTTTGATAGTGGTAACAATGCTCATAATGTTGGTGTTAATCATGCTCTTCATAATTTGGTTAGTGATATATGCTCATGTTGTTCATGATGCTACTGGCCGTACTATTGGCTCCTTGAATGGGCAAAGTCTTTTGGTTAATTCTAATGATAGAGTGGCTAATTTGAATCATGGTCAAGTTAGCCATGAATTTGCCAAGTACTTGTCATTTTATTACTAAAAACGTTGGTGTTGATGCCCAGAATTCTATTGCTAGTAATGTGACTTTAGCTACCCAACGTGCCTACTTTTCCTTTATAAAAGGATTTATAGACCCTAAGTCAATCCTTGAAGGATATTTGGTGTATGTGGGTCTCATTGTCATCTATAATGATCATATTGTATTCTAGTAATCACTGCTTGAAAATTTTGACCGGTGCAGCTTGAAAACTAAATTCGTAAAAAATACTTGTTGAACTCCTGTTGGTATGAAATTTTTTCTGGATAACCTGGACTTGTGATATTTGATTTCTATAAAAATATTTTGTTCAAAATATGCTTTGGTTGTTCCAGAAAAATTCTGTAAAGCTTTGGCAGTGTGCTGCCAGTTATTTTTCTGTCTGGCGCAGTGTTGGAAAAATTTTTGGGAAAAATACTTCTAGACCTTGGATTGGCATGAAAATTTTTATGTACGTTCTAGACTTGCTGAACTAAATATCTGGTAAATTTTGTGTCAAAATGGGTTATCGATTTTCCTCAGAAAATTCTGCAATCCAGGTCAAAATTCTGAAAATTTTCTGCCGGTTTCAGCTTGTATATCTTGCTATTTTGTGATGTTTTCGTACTTGTATGAAACTATGAGATAAAATGAGAGCTTGTTTGGAAAAGTGCTGTTTTTGACTCCCCGAAATAAGAATGAATGGGCACAGCAGCGAACAGGTGCGCGTTATCCTTTGGCGAACGGTACTTCTCTCATTTTATTTTCTAATTTATGAATTAATAGAATCTCTCTTGTCATGTCATGCATTGTGTGTACAACACATGATACTCTTTGTTTAAAGTGGATGTGCATGAATTAATTGAGATTTTGATGTCCTAGACATAAGGGACATTTATATCAAATATTGAATATGCTTCTCTTTAATTGACAACATTTAGCATATAATCTCTTGATTAGGCTCATAGAAGAGAATTTGTTATTTCTCTTGTTGGCAATTAATTATTTACTATAGCCCATAGCTATTGTGATTTATCCCGCAATGTATAAGTGAGACAATAACATGAATTCTCAATATGGTTTTCATTGTTAGGTTGCACCTGTCGTTGCTAAACCTTAATTTGCTCTTGTGATATCAATTAGATGATATGAGTCTAAACATTGTGATATATAGCATAAATATTGAATATAGCTTTGCCCAGAAGGCGAATTTATTGCACTAATTATATGATAATAGCACTAGGACAAATTCCCCAAATATAAAATTGACTTGGTATTGATTTAAAAGTCAATTGTTATTTGTCCAAAATTCAATTTTATTGGTTGCGCTAATTTATTATAGCATTGTTTCACACGAGTCTTTGACATTGAAATAAATCTCAAAATTGAGTATTTAAACAAAAGGATAGTACCTAATTTTTAATATAGTTTTGCCCAGAAGGTAAACTAAGAACGTTAATTTATCTGTCACTCGTTATCTTGCATGTCATTTATGATAGTCACATTGTACTCCAGTAGTAGTTCTTTGAGTGACCAATGACTCATGACTCGTGAATGAAGTCTGCAACTTCTATTTTTAATGCTATGCTACTATGCAAAAATGCTATGTACTTAACCGCCAAAAGTGAGTCACATCATGTTGGTTTGCTTGAAGCAAACAAATTATTAATGTTTGATAATTTTTCAACATCTATACTTCTTTTGGCGTTTAACCTCCCTAAGATTGTCGAATGTTTCACTCATTTTGTTCAATGTGTATGCTTGCCCTATATGATTTTATATGCAACTTGTGGTAAATTTCATATACATTTGAGAACTTATTGTGTTGCGATAATCTTTACATTTTAGAGACCCAATTTTTAATTATGGCATGACCAATTGGGTGACTGAGGGCAAACATAATTAGTTAGATATTACAATTTTTTTTATCCACATGAGTATTTTATAGAGCATGTGTGAAGGAGAAATTATTGAATTATCTATTTTGGGGATATACTTTTGTTTGAAATCCAAATCTAACTCACTGCATATCACAAACCAATCCTTCAAAGGATTGTTATATCTAGTACATGGTTTCAAAATAAACATTTCCCTATCTGCGTTATTATTTATAGTGCGCAGTCTATTTCAATATATCACCACCACAGCGTACCTCTAAAAAGGCTACCAAAGAATCCTTAGTCTCTTGATTAATTAATGCCAAGGGCACATGATATGAGACTAATATACATATCCTTAGGTACGCTGACTGCATACTTAATTAATGAAGATTGTTTCTCGGCATTAGGGGGAGATAAGAGTTCAAATTTAATAGAATGCCAAAAAATTCCATAGAATAAAAATATCTTCATTATTTAATCCATGTACTAGTTAGACTGAACTGAAAGTTCAGAAGATGATATATTTGCGATATTAGCAAATAATATGCCAAATACATCTATTGATCATACTGATCATAAAAGAGTGACTAGGTCCATATACCATCCATAATTTGGACCAAATATATCTATTGATACTCCTTGATGCCAGAAGTGTAGGAGATCTATCATATCGGTGTAAGAGATAAGAATCATTATACTAGATCTAGTAAATAAGCATTGTCACTCTTGTTATACCTTGAATAATTATGTCTTGGAGATGTTCGTCCAGATGACGAAAAACCCTAGTCAATCTATAGGTGCACCAAACAAACACAATACTAGGGATGCGGAACGACCATATCAAAATACCTTTGGGAAATGTCTAGAATCTGGTTGTTTTAGAAATTTCCATTACTTTTACAAATATGGGATACATTTATAAAAAGGTTATAGTTGTCGACAACACAATTGCCATTACAAATTGCTCCGTTATATGATAATCTGGATCCAGAGTTAGGCACCGGAAGTGCCATGACTATTTAACGTATAAAGGAGCAATTAAGGCATAGCTCGACTCGCTAATTATTAATAATTCTCTTTATAACAATATACCATTGAGAGTTAACCCCGAAGGTTACAAGTGGGTGTGTGCACGAAAGAGAAATAAGAATAATGAGGTGATATGATATAAAACGAGTTTGTAGTCTTATGGGTTCACGCAAATACCCTTGATTGATTTTAATCAAACATATTTTCCCACGATAAATGACATTAAGTTCCGCTACATCATTGGCAGAATAATAAATTAGATATGCAACTAATATTAAATTCAAAAGTCTCTGAAGGAATTTAAGTTCTCAAAATGAGAAAAAGTGAAAATCGCACATTAAAATATTAAGGTCTTTATAGGACCTAAAATAGTTAATATTTATTTTGAGAAATCCCTGATGGGTTATAATTCCCGAAATGAGAATTTAAGTGTCATTACATTTACTCTTTAAAGGGTTGCGAATGGAGTTAATATCCTCATTGAAGGAATAATATGTACCATTGTGTGCTCGATAAAGGGTTGATAATGAACTTATTTATTATTTATTATCTAAGTCAATATTGATGGTGGAAAACATCAATGAAATATATAAAGGGTTTGATGATGTCAGCCCATATCTAAAGACGGAGTTTTTGAAACAAAAGCTTTGGGAAAGCTAAGTATTATCTCAACTCCAGAAGATAGAGTTTTCCCTTGAAGAAATTTTTATACACCAGTTAGTCAATATATGATTTTGATTGGATACTTAGACAAACAAATATATAATGGCTACTTGGGTACTGGTTATTACTTTTGTAACTCCATAATGCCAAGTTCCAAAACTGGTTGTACTATTTTTACCCATTGCCCCATAGAGGGTCAATAAAAGGATATATGGATATATAATGAAATCCTTTTGACTAGATACTATGATATTAATATTATACCACGTGAACTCCAGAAGAGTCACGAGATTATTATAGAGTATATTTATTCAAATGACAATTGTATATATTTATTTACAAAATCCCTCTATACAGTTTGGAAATTTAATGTATGGGAATTAAAGATTGTTATCTTGAGGGGGAGTATCATTTTACATGAATCAATCCTGAAGATTAGGTCTTAGATGACTAATAGCTGTACTCTTTTCCTTAGTTAAGTTTTTTCCCATGGGATTTTTCCTTAAATCTAAGGTTTTTAATGAGGCAGCTAATCTAAAAAGAATACACATACATCATGCACTCTTTTGCTCAACTAGTTTTTATCCCACTGAGTTTTCTAGTGAGGTTTTTAATGAGACATGAGTATGATATAGTAATGTAAATGGGAAAAAGTTGTAAAATAATTGCTTAAGTAGACAAACCCCAAAATCCTGAAGATTATGTCGATTGTGCCCTGAAGGTTTTGGTTGTACTCTTTTTCCCTTAACTAAGTTTTTCCCACAGGGTTTTCTTAAGTTAAGGTTTTTATGAGGCAATCAGTACAATATATGTTCTTACAAATATCATGTACTCTTTTCTTCAACTAGGTTTTTCCCACAAGGTTTTCCTAGTGAAGTTTTTAACGAGGCATGAATATATACATATATACTCCTTTGTCTAGGTTTTTCCCATAGAGTTTTCCTAGCAAGTTTTGAAGATGCAGGATCATGTCAAATAATGTCCAAGCGGGAGTGTTATAAATATTATATATGTGGACATTATTATATATATGGTAGCAGTTGTAACTGATAAGGTTACTACCTTTTATATGTATTCATTACCTTATATTTGTAATACCTTTGTATAAGTATTTGGTATGATGAATGAGAATCTTAACCTTCCCTCTTCTCTCTTTGTCTATTCTAATATTCTTACAACAACCCCAATATTAGTAATAAGACAGGGAATGTGAGATTACCTAAGAAATTGGAGGGTATCTCACATTTCATTCCAATAGGTAAAAACTTAATGCGGAGGTTATCTGACATTCCCTAGAAAAGTTATATAATCTGACCCAAACATGAGAATCTTATATTACCAAGCAAATATAATTATCTTATATAACATGAACCAAATGCCCCCTTAAGGCTTTAATTGTGTTGATTAAACAAAATTCTATGATAGGAGGGATCGTGCACTTCTTAAGAATCTCCTCAAGCTTTGGGAGCTCATTTTGACGTTTGACTTACACCTCTGCATATGAGAATGCCTTATGTTACAAATTCAAATTGTATATATTGTTAGGCCGGAATAATTATTGTATAGATTTTGATGATGTTATTAGATATATTTTAGGAACTTAGATCCCGCAAATATTTTTCTTTACAATGGCCAATGTTAAAATTACTGTATTGTTCTCATGTAGGAGTCAATCTTCCCGCAGACCTTAGTCGTAAGAGGGTATAGTACACCGGCAAATGGAAAAAGGCAGTTCACTATCGGCAGACCTTATCTGTCAGACCCATCAATCATTTTGGTTAGGTCAATGACCGACCCCAAGATGCATGTGTATAATTCCTGTAGATCTTATATCATCTGACCTTAACTAACTCTCACAAGTATTGAGTCAAATGTCGAAGACCTTTGGTAGGCACTAGTATAGGACTGCACATCCCCGACACTTGTACAAGGGCATCCACCATGACATTTTAACAATATATATATATATATATATATATATATATATATATATATATATATATATATATATATATATATATATATATATATATATATATATATATATATATATATGCTTTGAATCCGGTGCAACCCCTATCATACATGAGATCATGAGATCTCATGATATCCTGATTCATTTTCCATGGAAGGTTGAGATTAAAAGATTCTTTTAAACTAATTAAGGACATTTTTAAAACATAAGGATTAAAAAGTAATTCTAGTATTGAGTTTATTTTTGGTTAGTATTAAATTGTAATCTTGAGCATAATATTAGGTAGAATATTAAAGGTAATAATTTGTATTGAGAGCTGATATTTTTATTTGATTATGTACGACGGTGTGTGCGTGTATGTAGTATGGCTAGTGCAAATCGTATGAATGAGTTTTTTTTTTTTTTTTTTTTTTTTTTTTTTGTAATTTTACGGAAATAGTTTATATGTGTGTGCGTGAATTTATGTATATGGGTTGGTTTTAAAGAAGAAGATTGTAAGAGTAATATGTGTAATTTTTTAATTTTTTTGGACACCGGTGATGAACTTACGGAGGTGTGCGAATATGTAATCCGGCGTGTGCAAAGCTTAGGGATGGGAGCATTGTTTTTTTTTTTTTTTTAAAACATTAATAATAGGCGTGTGCGTGAATGATCCACATTTTTTGTTATGTTAAAACTTAATTTATGAATGCAGAAGCAATGTAAAGATTTATTTTAAGATAGTGTGTGCGTGCATGTGATCTGGCGTGTGCAAATTTATGGGATGGGGGATTTGAAATTTTTTATTTTTGGCATTTCTACCAAAATCGATATTATGTGTGTCCGTGAAGTCAGATATATGATTTATTTTTAAAGAAGAAGATTGAAATAGTACTACGTGTTTTTATTTTTTATTTTGACATCGGAAATGTACTTACAGTAGTGTGTGGGAATATGTGCTTTGGCGTGCGCAACGTTTAGGGATGGGGGCATTGCTACGTATTTTTTCCTAATCAATCATTAATATTATGTGGGTACTTGAATTTTGTTAATGTTTTTCTTTAAATAATAATTTGTAAGTTTCTATTCGTTGTTTTTTTTATGCACCTGAGTGGTAATGTACGGTGGTGTGTGCGTATATGTGCAACAGTGTAATGCGATCTTGGCATGAAACTGTTATATATACGGTGTGGTCGTGTATTTGTGTTTGATTTGTGGTTGTTTTTTTTTAATACTGACTAAAGGGTAGTATAGGTGTGTGCATCGTGGTGTTACGGCATGTGCGAACAACTCGGCGTGAAATTTTTCTCAATTTACTTACGCAAGTACTAAGGATGTATTGTGGAGGTTGGTGTGTGCAAACTACTAGTTAGTGTATGCAGTGTGTGTAATTAGGTGTGCGAATCACTGGTCTCTAGGGCTGTGCATAAACCGACCCACCCGAAAAACCCGACCGACCCGAACCCGAATATATGCACTTGGGTGGAATCCGAGCCCGAATTAGCATACCCGAACTGTTCACACGCCACGTAGCCGGTTAGAACGAGGCGGGTTGGGGGTTATAAAATTCCCCCGAACCCGTCCGACAACCCGAATTAGGGTAAGACTGCGTATACCCTAAGGTATACGACGTCGTGTAAGCGGTGTATATATGTTGCCTTTGGAGGAAACCCTACTCATTTCCGCAGCTTCCTCGTCTTTCTTCTGACTTCTGAGAACTCTCTAGAGTCGTTCTCTGAACTTCTCTCGTGAGTCTCGTCTTTCTTCTCTGAAATCTGAAACCCTAGTTAGTTCTTACTTCTTTCTTCTCCAGATCTCTGACTCTGTGAGACTCTGAGTCTCTGAGTTCTCTCGTTCTCTCTGAGTTTGAGTCTCCGGTGGAAGCTAGCTAATATTGTTCGGTAGAAGCCCTATTCTAGAGTCTGGACGACCGGTGGCCGGTGCGGTGGATTGTAGATTGCTGTCACGGTCTCACGGATTTGAAGCCCTTTGTTCTCGGGGGTTTGATTTGGAGAAACGAAGTAATCTCTAAACCCTAATCTTAGACATACTTAGATTATACTCTTATATATTGTGATACGTTGTTGTTATTTGTGATTCTATGATTCTGATGACTGTGACAAAGTGAATCTGTTGAGAAGTTCCGGATTGCATGTCACTTGTCCCTTATTTGTGAATTTTTTATCCTTTGATTAGGGCTTCTATGATTCTGATGACTGTGACAATGTGAATCTGTTGAGAAGTTCCGGATTGCATGTCACTTGTCCCTTATTTGTGAATTTTTGATCCTTTGAATAGGGTTTCTATGATTATATGGACTGTGACATTTTAGAATCACTTAGTTGTGATTGTTTGTGGAAGCCCCTAAGTCCCTTACACTTGTTGATTATACTTTGTCTGTATTGTTTGTGGAAGCCCCTAAGTCCCTAACCCCTGTTGGCTGTTGGATGTTGCCTGTGTTGGTGAAAATGGTGGAAGCCCCAATTGTAACTACGAATTGTGAAATCCAGTAAAATGATGAATGTAAACTTCAGGCTTTCACCATCCTGATTTCTGGATTTCTTTGTCACTTTGTGTGATTAATGTGATACTGTGATTGTATCCATGTATGCCTGTATGTTACTATGTTTATAACTTATAAGTTATAAGTTTATGGATGTATGACCCTTAATAGTTAATTCCTTAAAGTCCTAATTATGAAATTTAGAAAAATGATGAAGTTAGGAACTGCATGTCTTCTGATTCTGGATTTCTCTAATTCTGACATTCTTTGAAATGGTTCCCACTGTACTGATAGTATTCCATTTCTTTAGATGGAAAATATCATAGAGTCTGGTAGTCAACCTTCCAACTCTTCACTTCATGGATCTACAGTGGTGGAAGCTCAGACTGTTGAGATAAATAATGATCAACAGAATGTGCAACCTACTGCTGCGGTTCTTCCGAAGAAAAGGAAGGTAGTTGAATCCAGATCTCCTGTGTGGGATCATTTTGAAAAGATTGTTGATGAGAATAATGTTACTGTTGAGGGAAAGTGTATATATTGTGCCGAAATATATAAATGTGAGACCAAAAAACATGGTACTTCATCATTGAGAACCCACATGTTTAACTGTCTTAAAAACCCTCACTCAAAAGACACAAGGCAATCACTTCTGACCTTTCAAGCTGTTACCAATTCTGATGCATCTCCTGCTACTGTTGGTGAGTTAGGAACTTGGGTCTTTAATCAAGAAGCTATTAGGAAGGCCTTAGTTGAAATGATTATAATAGATGAACTCCCTTTTAGATTTGTTGAAGGTCCTGGATTTAGGAAGTTCATTCTGGTATGTTGTCATAGGTTTAAGATTCCATCAAGATGGACAATTAGTAGGGACATCAATTTGATTTATGAAGAGGAAAGGCTCAAGTTGAAGTGCATGTTTAGGGGAAACACTCAAAGAGTCAGTATTACTACTGACACTTGGACTTCTATTCAGAGAATTAACTACATGGTAGTTACTGCTCACTTTATAGATGAAGAGTGGAGGCTAAATAAAAAAATTATTTCATTTGTCCCTGTCACATCACACAAAGGTGAGTCTGTTGCAAAATCCCTTGAAAACTGTTTGCTGGATTGGGGTATTAGAAATGTCTACACTATTACAGTGGACAATGCATCATCAAATGACACTGCCCTAGGTTTTTTAAAAAAGAAATTGATGTCTTGGGGAACATCTACTGTGAAGGGCAAGTACATTCACATGAGATGCATTGCCTATATTTTGAATTTAGTTGTGCAAGATGGGCTAAAACAGTGTGATGATTCTGTGAAGAAGGTTAGGGATGTTGTAAGGTATGTGAAAAGTTCACCTGCTAGACTTAAGAAATTTAAGGACTTGTCTGAATGGCTTGGGATTGAAAAGAAATCATCTCTGTGTCTAGATGTTCCAACCAGATGGAACTCTACATATCTTATGTTACAATCTGCAGTATTTTATGAGAAAGTGTTTTATTCACTTGAAGAAAGTGATTCTTCCTTCAAATCAGATTTGGGTGATTCTATTCCAAACTTTCTTGATTGGGAGTCTGTGAAGAGTTTGGTGAATCTGTTGAAGTGTTTTTATGATATGACAATAAGAATTTCAGGTTCTTTATATGTCACATCTAACACTTTTTTTTTTCTGAAATTTCTGATTTATATTGCCTATTGAATGGAATGGTGGAAGCTGGTGGTTCTGTGAAATTGATGGGGGAAACTATGAAGGTTAAATTTGAAAAGTATTAGGGGGATATAGATAAGATGAACTTGATGATATTCTTTGCAAACATTCTTGACCCCAGGGACAAATTAGAGTACATGCCAGCACAGATCTTACACATGTATGGTGAGTTAAAAGGTAAAACCTACTATGAGAAAGTGGTTGCAGCTTTTACAGAGTTGTTTGATGATTATGCTGCCTCTGTTGTCCCTATTGCTCCTGTGATTCCTTCTACTGTTGTCCCTACTGTTTCTGTCATCTCTTCTACTGATTCTTCACAGTCTAATGTTGGGAAGCCCCAGGGTTTGTTAAAGTCCCAGATTAAGAAACAAAGAATGGAGAGTGGGGGAAAGAAAAAAACTGAGTTGGAAATTTACCTTGTTGAGGCATTAGTTGAAGAAGAATCTTCTTTTGACATACTTAGATGGTGGAAGCTGAATGCTGAAAGATTTCCTATCCTTTCAAAAGTAGCTAGGGATGTCTTAGCTATACCAATATCCACTGTTGCCTCAGAATCTGCCTTCAGTACATCAGGGAGGGTTTTAGATCCTTTTAGGAGTTCTTTAACTCCTAAAATTGTGGAAGCTCTGGTTTGTACTCATGATTGGCTTAGACTACCTAATACCCCCATATCAATTGAGGAAAATCTGGAGGAATTGGAGAGATTTGAACAAGGTAACATACTAACACTTAACTTTCCTGCATTTTCTATTTACTTTTATTTTAAACTTGTCCTTGTATTTGCAGAATTGGGTGCTGATGGTGGGAGTGGAGCTGGGAGGATTGGTGGTTCTACACTTCCTACGATTCCTGTAATGTTATGCTTTATACTTTATACTACTTTATATTCTTGCATTAATGTAATCTGTATACTGTATTACTCGTGACTCATGAGGCTTGGTAACTAATTAGTAATTAGTTGCTGCCTAGTTGTCCAGTTGTCCTAATGAGGCTTGGTAACTTACTAACTTGTTGGTTGCTGCCCTTGGACCTTGGTGCACTGGACAGTGCCACAGTGGTATAACTGTTAGTTGGTAAGTTTGTTGTTAGACTCAAGGGTGCTGTACTGCTGGTAATGTATCATTGTATTATGTATTTAAGACTTTAAATAATTTAACTATTTGTTATGGCGATGATGAAAGCTTCCACCAATGATCTGAAATAAGGGATTAAGCTGGTATGTTGCTCTATCCTCATGGGGATGTTGTAGCAATTTGCCTTTAATCCTAACTTTGATATGGACAAAAAGCTTACTGAGCCAATTTTTAATATCTTATTTTCTACCTTTTATAGTTTTATAACTTATTTTGTTTTTGCTAATACATCTTAAGTTTTGAGTATTGACAGGAAGAAGAAGAACAGTAGGCTAGAGCTAAAGTAGGAACTACTGAGCAATCTGAGCTAGGAACTTGGATATTTTTTGAATTACTGTAATTTTGGTAATTTGGTGCAATGGTGGTTGCTGCAGTGTTTTTTAGAAATTGGCTACTTTTACAGTTTTACATTTTGTATAAGCAAATTCATAATTGCCCTTGCCCATTTGACTTTTTGGAGTCTAACTGTCTAAGTACTAGTTGTCTAGTTTAGTAGCTTTACATGTAGTTTGTGCACAGTGCACTACATGTTTTTGTAAATTTTTTCAGTTTTACTTAATTTTTACACGTTTTAGTCAATTATTTAATTTTTTTTTTATATTTTAAATATCCGAGATGCATTCGGATATCCGACCGACCCGTCCTCAACCGAAATCCTATAAAACCGAAAAGATTTTACAAATTGATACAATGAGATTGGGTTTAAAAATAATAATCCGAAATCCGTGCGGTTTGGCCCTCCGAGTATCCGAACCGAACCGTCCGACGCACAGGCCTACTGGTCTCCTAAGTTAGTTCATGTATCATTTTTCGTAATACTGATTAAAAGGTAGCATAGGTGTGTGGGTCGGGGTATTATGGCGTGTGCAAACTAGGCAAAATAATGCACACCATGTCGTCTGTTTTCTTGTTGTGTGTGTGTGTGTTTTTGTTTTTTTTTTTTACAGTGATGTGTGCATTGGTGTGCAACAGCGTGTGCAAGTTATTGTACCCGCCGAACATGAACTCACGCAGATTATAAAACTAGGGTCAATGCAATTTTATTTTTTTTGTGTTTGATTATTACCAAAATCCTAACTAGATGTGTGTGTGCATTCACGATGTTGTTTTTATTTTTTAAAAAAATTGTAAAAGTACTTGTCGTTGATTTTTTATTACCAAAATTGTTATTTACAGTGATGTGTGCCCGGGTGTTGTATGGCATGTGCTAGTTAATGAGCCACAGACTTTAGCATGCCGTTGTTATTTTTTTTTGTTTGTTTTTTTTTTTTTTTGTTTTTAATGAACTTAAAAAATTGTTATTTAGTTTGAGCATATATTCATGCAGCTAAGCACACACCCAACAACTTCAGCGCACACATCTAGATTTTGACGATTAGGATGGGTGCGTTACTTCATCTGGGCGTGTGCAAAACACGGTAGGGCTGGGAAGTCACTAATGAATCAAGTGTAACAATTAATAGCTCTAGGCACACACTCTAAAATAGCGCACACATTGATTTTATAAGTTTTTGTATTGCAATGGAACTAAATTTTGACATTTTAATAAAAATCAAATTAAACTTCTATGACATACTCTAAAATAATATGGCATTATAATATTAACAGTATAATCTTAAGTTTCATATCACTATCAATAATAAATTTTTAAACTTTTAAATAAAAATTGGATTGATTACAAATATAATTAAATACGTATTTCAATTAATTTGTCAAACATGTAATTAAAGCTATACAAAAGTCTAAGAATTAAAAAATCAACAACCAAACCGAAATCCCACACCGCAAAATCAACCCCCCCCCCCCCCCACCCCCAAAGCACCGCCACACCCAAGTATAAATAAATATAACGAAAACAAAATATGATGAAAAGTTCCAATGCGAGTAGTCTGCACCCAACGAAAGACTGCAACGCACACACCACATGAAAACAGATGAGACCACACGTCAAGACTCCAAATATACCTACACACGTTACTGCAAACAGATGCACACCAACACCAGGAAACACATATGCATAGACAGAGCACTACAACTGCACACACCCATACAATAATGTTCCAGCTTTCCATAACCAATCACAAAAGGAATTTCTAAGTTTAAGAAATAGAGTACACAATCCAACCATACTTAGTATTGTTGTATTATGAAAACAAGAACAAAGCTCCTACACTGTCACACTAGGAAGTAAGAAATGTCAAATAATAGTTGTAAACAATAGATAAGGTGTTTATATTGTGAAAACGGGAACTCTAGCAAGTAATCAATAATTTCCTGGATTTTTTACCAGAGCATCATATCTAGATTCTTCTTACCAAGTACATGAGAATTAACTCTAACAAATTATAATTGACTACAACAACCAACAACTACTTGGATCCTAGATAAAATTATTGTAGATTTAGATGCATGTATCTACTGTTACACGTACAGCTTCTATCTCCTGCAAAATACTGCAGCAGCATAAACAATTTTCCCTTTATCATTACATACATATATATTCAAGGAAAACATCATATTATAAAGTGTTTATGTACACATACTGGAAAGAAAGCCCCCAAAATATAATGGCACTCAAGCATAACAGAAACTATGATAGAAATATGAGATTTAGAATGTATGTACACAAGTAGCAAAAAGAGCCCAGTGAATAGTTCACATTCAAGAAAAAATAGTAATTACTACAATTCTTCCAAGCTGACAATATCAAAAGGGTAAAGGTTCAGGGTTAAAAACAATGTAATTGGACTGCTTATGAGATACCATCAAGCAATCGTGAGTCGATGATCCAAAAGCTCCCTAATGACTTTCGCTCAAAACCAGCAACTGCACCAACAAACGAATATTTAAAACAATGTAATTGATAACTTCAAATTTCATAACAATGTTCATACAAGTGGTACATTATATCAGCTTGTTAGTAGAGAAAAAAGCATAAAACAGTATGTGGCAAGTATCTTAGCACACCAAATAACAAATGAAAAAGCACGTGAGTCTTGAATACAAGATTTAGATTTTAATAAATTTAATTTTATTTCAATTATAAAGCTGGACTAGATGAAAACATATTCCAGATATAATAAAGAACATGAAATAAATAGCAGTAAAAGAAAGCATGCACCAGGATATGTTCACGCAGTTCGGAGCCTCACTCCTACGTCTGCGGGGCCACTCACATCAACCCAAATCCACTATGATAAAAACGGAGTACAAGAGGAGAGTTAATTACACACTAAAGTATAACCTATAACTACTCCAGAACCAACTCTAGTGGATCCGATGTGCAGGCGATCTTCATTGCTTCATGATCCGATAGCAAGATCTTCTTCACACTCAACAGTACAGGATGTATTTGGTATAGATGCACCAAGAATTTCAGAGTATAGCTTTTTGAAAGAGTGCGTAATGAATGCTAATTAAGGTAGCATTATATATAGATTGTAAAGAATGTTTTGATCCTCAAAACATGCACTCTTCTATTCCTTGAATTCGGCTGCTCCATTAGATTTAGATCTCCCCATTGATAGGGTCTTGAATAAATACTTTGAACAAGCATCATACCTCCTGGATTACTTCCTTGCGCTGATCCAGTCAACTACTCCAGACGTGTGACTAATCCAGCAACTAATCCAGGACTACTTTGACAACTAATCTAAGCCAATAATAAAGAGGTTTAAATGTGCAATATATTTACACTTACAACAAACAACTTAAAAATTGAACTATCTTTCAATGATCAAGAAGACGGAGTAAAGAATTCCCACTAGAAAGAACATTATAAATTGTAACACCAATCTAGTCCAGTTGCAAAGACATTGCCACACATTTTCAGAACTTACAGAACTACAACCGGCACTACCCACACATTGGCCTAACTTACACACTGTCACGCGCACTACCCACAAACCAGGAACACAAGCAATTTAAGCCTCAAAATCTATTGACATAAAACAAACAACAAAAGATATTCAGACGACACCCAGAAACACCCCCACATTGCCAGAGAGTTAAAAAAACAAAAACAAAAAAATACCCCCACACCCACCATAAAAAATACAGCCCCGCAAAAAAACAACCCCCGGTGACAAAAACCACTAAACCCACATGCCATGAAATTTTAAAAGGCCAACAGCATGCTACCGTATGCCAAAAAAACACACAGATCATTGTCATACGCAAAAACTGACATACCCAAAAAAAAAATGCATTCTAAAACTAAGCACCCAAAATAAAATAAAATTACCAAACAAACCCACAATGCCAAGTAGCAACAACAAACGCCAACCCACCCCCCTCCCCCCCACCCCCACCCGAACCATCCGGAAAAAAAAACCCAAAAAAATAGAACTACCAACACAAGAAAAATACAAATACTTAAACGCAAACCCAATCTCCTTCGGAACAGTAGCAAATCCACAAAACTCGGAAACAACACCACAAAACCAAAAAAAG